ATTAATAACATATTTTTCTTTTGCCATTGTGTGACTAACATTTTTCCAGTGACTCTCCATCCATAAATGGGTTTTGGCTCCCTTGCCAAACTGTTCAATAAATATTACATTTACAAACACTCGAGTGAAAAATCGCTCGATTCAATTAAATTTCGATATGAGGTGAAATTTGCAATGCAATTTGGTTTCCATTAATCAAGGAGCAGTCAGATAATACGTCTGGTTATTGGCATTGCGGTATGATTTTATTATTTTGCCTGCATATTTTAAAAGATTTAAAGGTTCGGGAATATACAAAGGGCCATTGAAGAGTGTTTTATCACTGATACGGGGTGTGCAAATATTATAATACATCCGATTAAATTTACTTTAATGGGATACCTTTTTGTGGACTTTCCTATTTGTTCTTTAAATCCGAGTAAGGCCATAATTTCGCCCACGGCTGACTGATTGCATTAATGCTGGGTTTGAGGTCTCGTTCTACGGCTAATTAAAGTCACGGTCCCCGGGCTCCTGAGGCTCCATTTTCCCGTCCCGCCGCTCGTTGCAATTAATTCCAACATAAATTTGCACTCCCCATCAGGTGTGTGTGTGTGTGTGTGTTTGCTTTTCCCCAGCCACCACCTTACAACTAGGATTCTCCATAAACCCACACATCTCGCTGACCTTGGGTGTGTCAGCACCGCCATTTCCGTTTCCGTTCCCGTTCCACTCCCATCCGTTTCCCGCGCCCCCAAACTGTTGCACCTCGTTGTTATTATTGCCGTTGACCCAATTTGCCACCACTTCCTGCCTCATCAGTCGCAGTGCCAATAAATTTTCATACAAAACAACACAATATTCGCAAGAGTGTGTGGAAGACAAAGGAACGAGGGCCGGCAATTTAATGGCCACGTGCACGGTGGTCCTTTGGAGTTTAATATTTTTTTTGCGTACTACATCAAAGTCCCGAGGACCAGGGTGATTAAATGAAATTTACGAGTACTTTGGGTTCGGCTTGGGGTTTGGTGTTTTGGGGTTTGGGCTTGGGTTTTGCATAGGTTCTGCCAGCCAAACCTGTCAGAGATTGATGAGTTGTGTTTTGTCTTGGCAGCTGGTTGGTCAAGGGAATTTCCTCGTTTATTAACTGGCCTGCGTGGCGTATGCGTAATATGCGTACAAGTACGGGATAATTGTGGAAAATGGCAGATCTTTATGGGTAGATTATTAGGGCAGGGAATTGGTGGGGATATTATGAATGTCCAGGGAACTCAGCTAGCAGTGAATATGAGTTTACACAAATGTTTAATTAAAAATCTTTAAATCTTTTAGATTTTAACAAGTTGTGGCTCAGCTTGAGAACTCTCGGAAAGCCCGGATTAGTCACACAATGGAATAAAACAATTCCAAGAGCATTTCAACCAAGTAGACCACTGCCTGGGTAAATAGTGAATTTATTCATAGGAATTCTGACAAAAGGTATTGCTAAGTGAAATTTCTCAGAAACACTCTAATTAAATTTTACACAAATAACAAGAAGTGCAAAAATTTAAATGTCTTGATGCACAGAAAGGGGGCGATTTTGAAGTAACTGTATGATTCAATTTATTTAGTTAAAGGCTTAAGAGTTTAAGTTGTTAAATTGACTAATTGGAAGTCTTTTTCTTTTGATAGTTGATAATTATTTCTTCCCTGCCCATCCGCAAATATTTTTTATACCATATTTGTTGATTGACAATAGAAACGCCTGCCTAAGCCCATGTTTTCCCAAGGATTACAGTTCGTTTAGGAACCCAACTCATCGTCGGGAAAGCGATGGACCCAGAGTTGGGTCCATCGGACCTCGTAGATCTGCTGGCTGTCGAGCCCCTCGATGGGATGTTATTCAAAATCCAATAATAAGCCCAACAATTATGCAGGACAGGCAATAAAGTGCAAAGCAGCGTGTTGCCACAGCGAAATACAACCACACCCGAGAAATGGCGACGAAACAAATGGGATGCGATGGTCCAAAACTATAACTGACAGCCGGGAAAACCGAGGAAGTTGGGGGAAATGTGGAAAATGTGGGAAAATTAAGGGGAAAAGGGGAAAAGGGGCCCGAGGATCTGGTTGGGGTCCCATGTTTATGAGCTGCAATGGCGACGCGTTGACAGCTTTTGGTCAGGATGGTCGTATCCCCAGTGTCCTGGGCCCTCCTTTCCTTTCCTTTCCTCTCCATTCCGCTCCTCACGTTTTCCACTTTCTCCTTGCTTATTTTTTTAGTGCTTCTGTTTTTTATGTGTGTTGTGTTTTTACGACGAGCAGCCAGTTTATTGCAAGTGTCGGCCTCGTCTGGGGTTATTAAAGTTTCAGTTTCATTCGGTGTGAAGTCGCATTGCTCTGGGATCTAGGTTGTGGGATTGGGATTGGGATTGGGATTGGGATTGGGATGTGGGATCTGGCTAGAGTGGGGGTGATCCCGGGGATCCTGGGGACGTTGCATCCACAATTCCGCCCACTCGTTATTTTATTGCTGAAAAGTGCAATCATAAAACGTTCAAGGCCCCAATGCAATGCAACGATATGAGACAAACAAGGCTAGAAGCCAAGAGGCATTCTGGGCGCAAGTATCTGCGAAATTGGTCATCACTTAGGTATTTTCTTATAGTTATGTCTTTGCCAAGCCCACAGGACATTGCGAAAAATTGTAGGGTTGATAATAATGAAAAATTGCGTTAAAGTGTTTTTGAAATATATATAAAACATTTTGCAGATTGAAAGGGTATTTAAATAAAGAGGAGGAGGAGTTGAGGATATTATCTAACAATATTAAAAATATGAATAGAATAGTATACATACTTTCTATTTGAAATACATATCTAAAGATAAAGTAATATTTCAAATGTCTTTTTATAAGAAATATTACTTTAGAAATAAGAAATAAAATATCTATCTGTCCAAAAATATAATTTAAATATTTTGAAAATCACCAAAGACTTATAATAATAATAGAAGATAGAAAATACTGAATGACACATGTTGAGGCAATTGATAATCTCAGGCTATTTAGATCACCTTAAAGATATTTTCCAAGGTATTCAGAACTTTTGTCTCTGTGCAGAGAGAAATAGTGAGAATGAGAAAAGCGACAGGAGAAGGACAGGTCTGGGAAATGGGGTTATTTTTCCCCAATGTGTGGGCACATTAAAGTTGCCATTTCTGCAGCCGCAAACGGAGCACAACTCGCTGTCCAACTCTCTGAAATGGCTTTGTGCATTTGAAATGTGAAAAGCGCTTAGAATATTTGCAACCCCACATATCCCCCACTCCACAGATGGAACTAAAAGCCCATAAAAGCCTATTGACACAAATCAAAAACAAAAAACTAAAGCGGGCCAAGGAGAAACAGGAAAACAAGAGATATAGGGTTAAATTTTACACTACCTAATGGCTTTGTGGACCATTTTCAGCCAAGTGAAGCGATTTTCTGGCTTATAGACTATGGGATAAAGCCACCCATCATCTACAGATAGTATCTAAAAGATACTTTAAATGGGAAATAGGCTGCAAAGGGCAGCTCTATCTCTATTCATTCGTAAACACTTGAGTGCTTCATTTGCAGCTCATTACATTCAGCTTTAATTAAGCCATTAATATAATTAATTCAGCTGGAAGAGAAGTATTGGCAAACAGTGGTTATCGGCTATCTGCTATCAGCAATCAGCAATCAGCTATCAAGTATTAAATGACCATCCTGAAAGGAATCGAATCTGAAACAAAAACGAAGGAAAATTGAAGGCTGATGGACGAGATTTCCACCGCCACTCAAATCGCATTCAAGCCCGATGCGATGATGTTGGATGATGTTGGATGGAAGGGCGCGAAAACGCCTCGAAATTCCTGGAAAATGTGCTTGAGGCCAGTGCCATGCAAATATTTGCTGGGGGAAATAACAGAAAATGTAAATATGAGAAGTGAATCGAGGCGGGACAAAAGGAAGTGACATGCTGATGTGTTCGGGGATGTGGGAATCTGGAGAGTGGCAAGTGGAAAGTGGATTTCAATCCATTGTTCGGTCCATTGATGCCATGCAGCGAGGACATGCAAACAAATAAGCCGGAAACGGATCAGGAAAATGTACATACTGTATGGAAAAGCTGGAAAACTGTAACGGAAAGCTGGGAAATATCAGAAGCCAAAGCGGCCAAAAGGAAAACGCACAGAGGCAAACGCAATTAGCTGGAAGCACACACAATATATAACTTTAACCATACAAAGGGACAACACGATGTTGGCAACATGTAACATTTTCCATTCAATTGGAGTCCAGCCTAAATAAACACACTTTTGTTATGTACACTAGCTAACAAAAAAAGAAGATTTCAGATATAAATTCATAATGTGAGTTTAAGCTGTAGACCCTCTTTCTCTAGGTTCCTATGATTTTTTAAAATTATAGTCAGTTAATTAAAAATCACGCAAGTGACATATTTCTTGGGTGTAAAATAAGCTGTAGTACCATTTTAGCTAACATATTTTTTTAATTTTCAAATGCAATGATTTTTGTAACGTGCAAACTAGTGTGATTTATTTTATTAGACCTTTTTGGGGGTCAAATTGCAAAGTTTAGTCTCGCACATAATTCGCGCATCTATGCTCGCACAATTATTTGGCAATTAACTCGCAATTTCCGCGGAATTGATCCAATTGAGGTGTGACAAATCACGAAAATTGTCATTAGCGACAATGGATAAATCATTTTGCCAACGCTGCCATTATTCGCTTATTGATTCGTTCAGTCGCTCTTTATTCGTGTATCGTGTTCCCGGCAAAATGGGATTTTATAGAAATTTATTGGGCTTTATAACTCTGTTTGGTTTTCTGCAATTGACCAATCAGGTGGGAGAACATTTAACTGAATATTTGTTTTTAACTTGCCATGCAAATATATAACAATTTTTAATTTGAAATATACTAATTAGATATTTTTTAGAGCTTTAATTCGATGATTAGGCTAATTTAATTAATCTATGTCCTAGCACTGCTACACGATGAAACTGGTGGGCGTTAAATCCTGGGACACGCCCAACTACGGCCTGAAGATCAGCATGTTCGAGAAGAACAACTCGATGTCCTCGGTGACCACTGTGCGCCAGGACGTGGCCATTCCACTGTGGCACCTCGTCCTCCTGCAACATCCGCGCAAGCGGAGCTCCGCATCCGCCGCCTCTCGAGCGGAGTTGCCGCGAACCCTCTACAATTCGACGACGAAAACCTGCGACTTCTGGCGCTACATTCGCCACGTGTCCGCCTGGAACAACGTGGCCCAGCTGATGCTCTCGAAGGGGGCCAGCAACATGAGCCTCGCCTGCCCCCTGAAACAGGGCGTATACGTGATGAACCGCATCCAGGTGCCGCCGGAAACGGCGCTCCTGAAGTTCATGTACCACCCGAACACCCTGTACACCCTGGAGGGCACTGTCTACTCCTTGAACCCCAAGGACAAGGTCACCAAGAAGCCCTTGTGCTACTACGAGGTCAATGCCACTATCTATAAGTCTTGCTAGGGATCTCTTAAAAAAGATTACTACGATTTTTTTTGTTTTTTTTTTTTATTGGTGAAACATACCATATATCATGACATTCCCGAAAAATCTTATTATAAAAGCAAAGGCAATAAATAACATCTCAGGTAAGCTCTTAAAAACAAAAATATTGATCAAATCAAATCTTAAAAAATATTTATAAATTCTAGCTATTATATTTTAAATATGACACTTAATCACTTGCTAATCCCTAATATTTTAGATCTGTAGTTAGTTAGTAATAAAAGTGGGATAGCAATTGACCTCCTGTGCATGCATTTCCCTATACAATTGTAAAAATGTTTTTTCAAGCTCAGCAGAAAGCAAGCTGCAATTGTCAGAGGTTCTGGTCGGGATTGAGGTTGAACTGGGGTTAAGGCGGTTGAAAGCCATGCGTGTCGCACGTCAGCGAGGGATTTTTAATTAAGTGCGAATTAAAAATGGAAAGGAAAATTTATACCAGCTACAACGGCGACACTCACACATATTTATATGGAAAGGCAACTGGCAGTAACCGCAAATCAGCAGGAAGTGAGATATTCATTCGAGATGCAGGTGAGTTACAGTGGTTGCAAGTTGCACAAAATATATTTTAATTTGAAATGTTTGATTTTTAAAATGGCTGAAGAAGTTACAGCTGGAAATAGAAGTTCAGTTTAAAAGAAAACATACCTTTAGGTATACAAAAAAAGTAAAATATCTTCTTTTTAGATCGAAAAAAATATCTCTTTTAGGTTTACCAAAAAAGTAAAATGTCCTTAGTCTTGTAAATATATATTACCTTTGGATAAGAGGATGTCTTAAAATGATATTTTCCCTTCAAATCGATTTCTTGGCCATCCCTAACCTCGTTAACGTGTTCATTTTAAACATACTGTGCCCCAAATATTTGACGATCGTGGGAATGGTCGACTGGTCACAAAATTGCGGCAATCATATTTCATATTTGCATTTTGCATGACCGCACGCACTTGCCCGCTGCAATCGAGAACTCACAAAGTGCCACAATGTTCCATAGTTTGATCCCATTTTCCCGTTGGGGGAATTTTTAATCAATTTCGGTTCAGCTGCTAAGTATTGTGTTCAGGTGCCAAATGGCACTCCAGGAGATATGTACTTCGAAGTCATCTTTGGGGCGGAATAAATTCCACAGTGGGCAGGCAAATATTCTTTCTGTTCTTTCCCCCGTGGCTAAAAACAATTGGGTTAAAAATAAACAGCACAGGACACGAACCCGAAGTGAGCCAACTGAACGGATGACTAACTGACGGAATGACTCTAGGTGGGTTCGCCCCCCCCCCGTTCACCTGGAATCCCCGCTGCCCCCCAACAATTGGCATAAAATATGCGACGCTTGCATGCCAGAGACTTATTATTAAAACATAAAATTTGCATGCAAGCCGCAATGCCAAAGCGACCTAACCTATATTGTATATATATTTTAAACAACTGCGGTTGGAGTGATAGTAGCTCAGAAAGTGGATTAAAAAGGCAAGGCATTTGGCAACATAAATAAAAGATTTCGCAAGCGTTTCTGACATTAAGCACACAAGGCGGAAATTTTGGGTAACTTAAAATCGTTTGAGAAACAATGTTTCCCTATTAAATATTAAATACCACAATTATGTTTTTGGGGATTTTTTTGTTGCCCATTCTTGATATCAAGAACTTATTCTTCTTAAAATTAGTTTACTTTTCTCCTGCGATTTATCTGGCTATAATAAAATATAATATTTGTAATATTTTTGTATCATCTTAGGCAACTCCTTTGCCACATTATTTGCGACTCCCTGCTTTCATTACTATAATTCTGACTACAATTGTCTGCATAAAGCCCGCAGAATTAGGAAGAGGGGCACGCCCTTTTGGGGCCATGGAGACGGAGATGGCAAGATACATAAATACGTGCCTGTTTGTACATTTATGTGGCGTTTGGCAATTTGAGCTCGTGAATTATGCACAGAACAGTACAGAACAGAACAGTACAGCCAGCAAAGACAAAGACCCCGAAAAGGGGAGTTCCCCGGGGCTTGAGAAATGGGAGTTGGGAGCTCGCATTAGACAAATTTGGCCAGTTTATTTACTGGCAACAGTTCGGAGCCAGTCACAGATGCTAACACTCAGTAGATTGCTCGTGATTCGTGGGCGGAGCTGTCTCCGAGCGGTGATTTGTTGCGTACCACTAAATGGGGCTCCAGTGTTGGTAAGAGCCAAGTCATCGGTAATGTCGACTTAAAAATCATCCCCTCAGTAGGTAACTATAATTCCCAATTGGTTCTAGCCTTAATTCATGACTTAGGTGCTCTGGTAGCAGATAAATCAGTTGATCGGGAGTTTTCACAGATGAAAATCCAAAAATATTATAAAATATTAGTTGATGTTCAGGATATTCCAAAATATATTCTTTTAAATACCCCTGTAAAATCGAACCATTAATTCCCAAAATAAGCTAATTAAAGTCGCATGCCAGCCCACGCTTCCTAATTAACCAATTCGCCTGGCTCAACATTTCCATGGACTGATGACATTTGGCGATGCGTTCGGATTATCGAAAAATCCCCACTTCCGTTGCACAGGCTACTTAATTATGGGTCGAGTTGGGAGGTCGGGTTGCAGATGCACCAGGTCGTTTTGAGGGGATGCCATGACAACCGGGGCCGAAATGGCATAGGGATCCGGGAAGTAACGGCTATTAAAAGGCTCAAAGGAGATCCTTAACAAAAGGCTGGCCTGGAGTAAGGTCAAAGGGGACTGCAGGAGGCCGAAAAGTCGGTTTGGTATTTCCAGGACTGCCTGCTGATAAACTTTTCAAAGAGTTTCTGCATCTGAAGCTTCCAGCTGGCACTAATGGAATATAATTGGCGCGAATCGCTGCAGTAATCAGCATATTAAACGGACAACTGCAGTCACGGCACAGATTACTTGGGAACAAAAGTTAAATGACAAACTTATGCGACAAATGCAGCAGCAGTGGGAAAGGGGCTTAAGAAATCGCAATTGACTGGGCTAGAGGATAAAATAATGGTAATGAATGCAGAACTAACTTCCGCTATTAAAACTTGAACTCAATAATTTCGCTCGAGTTGTAAACTACTTACTGGCATAACTTCTGTGTACCAACCACAAAAGTTAGCCAATTAAGTTGCCTAATAACACTAAGAAGTGCCAAATAATCTAAAGATCTGTTTTAAATTCGCAGCTAAACTCAGCCTGGAAACTCTGGATGAATCAGTTCATTTCCTTTGAGCCCCCAAAACAATTCACATGCAGTTTTCCGGAACCCCAGCGAGGGAGGCAAGTTATAGTTAAGTTATAGGTACTAACTGGAAACCACAGGTTGAGTGCATTTAAATGGAAACTGCCGCTCCCACGCAGTTGTCACATCAATAACTTGCCGCTGAGTTAACATTTAGTGTGTTCACTTTACGGCTGTCATAGGTGCACTGAGCGAAATGCGTGCGAGATTGCACTCAGCGATGAAACTTGAAAATTGCAAACTTGAAATTAAGATTATATCAATAATAACCAACGAAAAGAAAAAGGTATTAGATTGACTGTAATTTATTTATAAGATTTAAATGTGTCATGATATATCTCTTTATATATTTCCTTATATATCTTATAGGTTTCTTCTCTCAATGTGCATTTTCATCGGACTGAGCGTCACTTTGCGTAATCGCAATCGAAACGACTTCAACGTTTATTTAGCCCACGCCGCAGTGCTAATTCCACCAGCCACATTTCACCGCCCCCATTTCACCGCCCACCTTTCACCGCCCACATATTGCGCCCAAAGTGGGCGGGCACGTGAGAGGCAGTGGCAGCTGCAGCAGTACCGCTCCATGATGATATTAACCGGAAGTGACGACAGCGCCGGACAACGCCTAAAAGCACACTGCAGAATTTATTTCTTTATTTCTCACGCTTGCCTGATTTCATTTTAATTATCCGGTGCAGGCGGTGGAAATTAATTCCGTGGATGGCGAACAAATATGAAAAACTATAAAGAAAATGCGCATATTAAAAGTCAGTCAAAGCGTATGGAGAACGGTTCGGAAAAAGTTGTTGGAAAAAAATTAATATCATATTTAAATATTGCAATATGTACGCAAAAACCGATTGGAAAAAATCATTGACACATTGCGTATTGCGATTTTAGTGTTGATTTATAGACCAATAATAATTGCTGGCTTTTCAGATATGATTTGGAACCATCATGTGAAAAGTAAATCTCATTTTTTCCATTAAAGAAATGAGAAAGATTTATATTTTTCCAATGCTGACAACTACGATGCTCAAATGAAGAACAATTTTTCAGCCAGTAAGTAGGACCCTTTAATGACATTGGGGGGCAGAAGTCGTTAGCTTTAATCTGTCATTTGGGAAAGTCAACGACTCAGGGATTGGGGATCCTCCTTAACCCTTTGCCGGTCATTAGGCATCTGGCGGACCCGGCGCCAATTAATTGCGCATTCAGCAGTCACCATCGGCAGACAATGAGCAACAAGGGCCCCAGTCGCACATATATCTTCGGATTGACCTATGCCGAGTGGTATCGTCTCGAGGCAGATGGCCCATTATAATGCCAGTCCGCCGGGAACCACCGGTGATAATTGACCATCCATCCGCCGGCCACCTGTCCAGTGTCCATTCCATAATCACATCCCGTTAGTGATGAGAAGATCTAGATAGCAAGGCCTTTTAGAAGATACTTATAAAGATTTTTAAGAGCCCTATTGTAATATTTATTTTCGGATAGTCATTCTAGAACACTTGATAAATGGATAATTTACCATTTTGTATGATATCCCGTTAGTTATGACAAGATCTAGATAGTACGGCCTTTTAAGGGATATTTTTAAGGATTTTTTTTAGAACTTTCTTTCAATATTTGCTTTAACTGAAGAAATATAGGTATGAGTTATGGGATAGTCCCTGTAAAATGCATTTACCATTTTGTGGTAATTTAATCTTCTTGCTTCACGGCAAACCCAACTGGCTTTACCAGGTACCAAACCCAATTTCGGACCGCTTTTCATCACTGACGTCTGGGTGCGGGCGCGATTCTATTCATCAAATCCGGGGAAATGGAGTCGGTACTCCGGACTGCGGGTTTTCTACTCTGACATTCGTCAGGAATTCTATTCTCCAACGTGGCCTGCGGCTGGATATTGTGGATTCAGTTCGCTCGAAAAGTGAAAAGCATAAACGAACCCACACTCGTCGTGCTTTTTCTCTTTACTTTTTTTTTTGTTTTTTGGCAGTTTCCTTTCTGGGCTTTTCTGGTAATTAGAGTTTCATGTTTCGCAGCAAAAACAGCCAGCGGAAGTTGCTAGCCAACCGGGTAGGTAGAAAATGAGAACGTGTTGCTTAATTACACGCATTACCAAATATCACACATACGCCATGTGGCCGCAGGCAAAAGCTTCAAAGCAAAGCCAGGGAACAAATAAAAATAAAATATTTTCATTGGCCGTGTTTTAGCCAAAGGCGAGTGCTTAATGCCCTTTAAGATTTGGATAGTTATTTTATTATGGGGTTTAGAAAATCGGAATTAACGAAAAACATTAAACATTTTGTTTAGGGAACTAACAACATATCCATATGTTTAAGAATTACCTATGCCTGTCATAGTTTGACATGGTAAAAATTGAAAACACCAAAATGAGCCATTCGAGGGGAAGCTCCACCGAAAACCTTTTAATAAATCATCAAAGTAAAGCTTAGCTCGATTCTACGCCAATAAATAAATCCCGGGGGCTTGCTGGCTTTCAGCTAGAGTTCTAGAGGGTGAGGCCCCGAAGTCGATAACCCTAAATGGCCAAAAGCAAATGCAATTTGGCTGAAGTAAAAGGAAGTGAAAGGAGCTCGCTGACTTGGTACTTAGTGGTGCAGGCGAGTCACGGCAATATTCAGATTACACGATACCAACCGATGCCACGCCCACCTGGGAGTATCCCCTTGGGGGCGGTGGGCGGTTATCCCTCAGCACGTCTCACATTAATGGCTCAGCAAAAAAAAAACAGAACAGAACAGAGCAGAGAAAAAGCCGGCACAAAATAATTGTTTTCCGTTGAGCAATAATTTTCTATACCTTGGGTTCCCCACGGCATTTGCCCCCAATAAAGCTTGTCAGTGGGCGTGGCCGTGCAGTGTACTTTATTTGGCCCAGCAAATTGAGTTAAGTGTAAAGAAAAAAAAAAGAATAAGGAAAATACAAAAATGCAAAGAGTGTTGGCCAAGCCCAGCAAAAACTGGGTGAAAATGTCTGAGAAGCGGAAGTGGAACACTTGCCTGCTTGTCCACCTTTTAAGCCAAGGATGGGTTAATTAACCCATAGTCCAGCGGCCAACTAATCTAAATGATTTGTGGGGCGAGCCAAAATGGAAGGGCATAATTTAAAACTTAAATTAAAGGGGTGAAGGATTTGAAAGTGGTGCAGAAATTACATTCTAAATAAAACTGTTTCCAAGAATTCAAAGGGAAATACGGAACCATTTGAAAAATAAATACCATACCTACAATACCTTTCCTTTAAGTCGAAAATGAAAACACTTTAATTGCTCCATTACTCTGCAAATGCGCAAAAGCTGGGACCGTAATCTTTCTATTAATGTCCTTATGACAGGATTACATATATCATGATGTAATTTGAATGCCCCAACCAGGCGAGATCTTAACGGTCATTATTTGTTAACTTGCCCGCCACCACCACTTATTTTCTTGGCCCACACACACATTAATGAGACCACAAAATGAGCTCCTAAATGACCAACAAAAGGAGGAAAACCCAGTGAAATGGCTGGCAGAAAAAATGAAGAGGAAAAACACGGACAACGAAAATGTGGAAAGGCGGGGAAAACCAAAAACATTGTTGCCTCAATTGTCTTGTCCTGTGAGTAGATTTTCCTGTTATTGTTTGGCCTTTACTTTACTTCACTTACATTCATTACACACACAGAGGGTGGCGGTGGAAATGGTAGGAAAATGTGGAAAATGGTAGGAAAAATGGGAAAAGCAGAATGTAAGGCAGACATTGTTGCATCCAAGGAGCTCGCCTCATTCAGCGTTAATTTTATGGATCCTGTTGAACTAAAGCAGCACATGAATCTCGTCCCATCCCATCGCTGTGGTCCTCCATCATGCCCACTAATGGCTGAAGGTCTCGGAAAACTTCGCTTTTCTGCTTTTCACGTATTCCCGCCTTTCCCACCCCTGCATGCCACAATGCAAAATAAAAACAACTTCTTAAAGCGCAGCGGCCACGCCAAACTCCTTTTAAGCACAAGAATTATTATGCCAGTGGCCTTGCTGACTGTGCTCCCTCGTTTTCCACGGAGTTTTCCACACTGCGCCGCCTCTTCCGATCCCATTTCGCAGCCATTATAACGGGGAAGAGGAGACAGCGAAGCAGCTGGTGAAAATCCATTGCAAGTGTAAACTTTTCCCCATGACAGAGAAGAGGAGAAAGTGTTGCAATGGAAAAGCGGAGAGGCGAAGCGGAAAACTTCCAAGGGACCCATTTAGTCGGTGGTCAAGGGATTTGCAGACCGAAGGTTTGACTTTGATTCTGGTTTGATTTTCTAAGCGGTTTTGTGCTCGAAAAAGTCATATGTGAAAATGGGCTTAAAGAGGGACTTAAGGATTAAAATTTCAACTGCTTTAATCAAAATAAAGAAAGGCCAACACGGTTGGCCAAACAATTTAATAATTCTATTATATTATTTTATTTTACCTAGCATACTTTTTCACTCTGTTATGTTTTAAAAGGCCATTTACTAATTAAAACTAGAAAATGCCGGCCATGTAAGCTGATTAAAAAGGGAAGGGAAACCAACAAAAGGAATTTCATAAATATTATAGCCAAGGAAAATATTTATTAATGGGAAAAGCTGAAGCCAAGTGGAAAATAATTTGCCGACTACCTAAGCATATTTCAGGGTGAAAAAGGGACAAAAAGCCACATTTGCCAACAAAAGTTGTAAAAGTATGGAATTTGTTTCATTCTTAGTTTTGTAAGAAATACATTTATTTTCAGGTTCCTTTCTCTCGTAAAATGTTAACCACCATTATACCAAACCTGTTTTTCCATTTTAATAATTCAATTGTAATAACATTAAAGACATAAAATCACTTTGATGCATGCTTTGTGGGTAGTAAATATTTATTTTTAATCTGACTTGTTTTGATTTCAACTATGTTGTCGTTGACAGCAGTCATTTAGTTGAGTTGAAAACCTGCAAAAAGTGGTTTCATTTTGATGCAATCAATTTGTAAGCTTATCCTAGTCCAACTTTTAACCGCTTTTTTAGTTTTACCCTGATTTTTAAGCCTTTTTTTGTTGTTCGTTTGGCAGCTGTCTTTTTGAATATCCAGCACGTCATTGTTTTTTGTCGTACATATGCATTAACGAAGGATTTGCAGCAGTTAAAATATTCCTGTTACTTTTTTAAATCGGAACACAACCCCCAACATTTCAACAAACAATGAATTTATATTAAATTTAAATATTAAAAATAATATTAATATTCAAATAATTTAAGACAATAGATTGTAATTTACATTACGAACTCAACGATGTATGACATTCCTCAATCTGATATATATATAATTAATAAATCGCTAATTTAATAAACTGAAAGGATTCGTAACATATTTTCTGTCCAAATTCTGGGTTTATGGCTCTCAGACACCAGGCAAACAGAAAACTTAGCAAGTGGCAGCTGGTATTTTTAGCAAGTGAACTTAAATAACTGTTAATTTTCAAGATGGCGGCCCTTTACATATTTCCCCACCCTCTACTAACCAATAGGAATTGATCCCCATTGGAAAGAACAGTTAGTTGCGAGCCAAATGCAGACCAGAGATGAGCAACCATGGCCGTGTCACCAGCTTGTCACGAGCTTGTCGCGATCTTGTCACGAGCTTGTCACGATATGTACGAAGTAACAGTTAAGTCCTATGTATTTGCTCAGGCCGTGCCAAAAGGAAGAAATCACTAGGGCATCTCTAAGTAAGCTTGGAATAAGGTAATCAGCTGATCGTTTTACACCTACTAAACGTTTATGTTCGCCTGGTGTCCGAAATTAAAAAACCAAGCAATTTGACCAATTTCTCGACGAGCAAATAAGGTATTTTGGTTTTATGATTTCTATAAATTGACATTTCAAAGAGGTCTGAAATTTAATTTCTTGATCTTTGACACCAGGCCAACATAATCTGTAGTAGGTGGCTGCTGGGCGCTAACATTTTTTTAATGGAAGGACACCGTTAGTTTAGTATAAGGAGACTAGAGGTGGGCTCTCGCTTGGTCTGCAACAAAGAGGCCTTCGATTTTTTGAAGTGGCACACCTCTAGTCAAGCCTTAAAAACTAATCGTTGGTCACCTACGAATTTTCCTGTTCACCTGGTGTTTGAAATTGAAAAATCGCTTATGTACTTCAACATGTTGAATGGCTTCGTAACATAATTTCAGTCGAAATGCTGGATTTGTGGTTCTCAGACACCAGGCAAACAGAAAACTTAGCAAGTGACAGCTGGTAGCTAAAAGTGAACTTAAATAACTGTTCATTTTTAAGATGGCGGCCCTTTACATTTTTCCCCTCTCTCCACTGACCAATAGGAATTGATCCCCATTGGAAAGAACAGTTAGTTGCGAGCCAAATGCAGACCAGAGATGAGCAACCATGGCCGTGTCACCAGCATGTCACGCGCTTGTCGCGATCTTGTCACGATCTTGTCACGAAGTAACAGTTAAGTCCTTTGTATTTGCTTAGGCCGTGGCAAAAGGAAGAAATCACGAGGGCATCTCTAAGTAAGCTTGGAATAAGCTAATCAGCTGATCGTCTTACACCTACTAAACGTTTATGTTCGCCTGGTGTCTGAAATTAAGAAATCAAGCAATTTGACAATTTTCTCGACGAGCAAATAAGATTTATAATTTCTATTGACTTTTTAATTTGATTGTATGGGGTTTTAATTACATTTGTCGGGCAAATTTCGATTTCAAGTACCAAAACGCCTTTGCTAACAATCCCCAACACTTTCCGAGAAATTTAATTTTTGACCAATTTTTTTGTTTTTTGTAAGGGGTTACATCATCTATTTTTGCGAAAAATGGGAAAAACAAAAAATTTCTAGGTTTAAATGCCAGTCGATTGGAATTTTAATTACGAGCTCAACGAGGTATAACATTCCTCATTCGGATTAGTGGTTGGATTATGCAAGCCAAAAGAATGATTTTTTATGGCTGAAAATAGGGATTTGGATTTTAGTCAAAAAATACACATTTTTTTGTAGTATTTTCGTCGTAGTTTGACCAAATCAAGGCGTACAGCTTAGAGACCTACCGTTTTGAGTAGCTGACAACCTATCCTAACAATCCCCATTACTTTCCGGGAAATTAATTTTTTGACCGATTTTTTCATTTTTTGTAAGGGGTTACATCATCTATTTTTGCGAAAAATGGCAAAAATAAAGATTTTCCAGGTTTAAGTGCCAGTGGATTGGAATTTAAACTACGAGCTCAGCGAGGTATGACATTCCTCGATCTGACGTTTATTTTTCTTGTAGCAGCCAAAAAACTGAATTTTTAGGGCGGAAAAAATGGGATTGTTGTCAAAAATACGATATTTAGATTTTACTCAAAAATACGAATTTTCGTTCCAGTTTTTCCATCATATTTTGGTCAAATCAAGGCGTACAGCTAAAAGACTGACTGTTTGCTTCATTTGTTATCGATCCCCATCACTTTAAGGAACAATTATTTTTTGACCCATTTTCGCATTTTTTATAAGGGGGTACATCGGTTATTTTTGGGATTCAGATTTTGGTAAAAAATACCCATTTTTTAGTGGTTTTTCAGTCGTAGTCTAGCCAAATCAAGGCTTACAGCTAAACGACCGACTGTTTTGAGCAGCTTGCTTCAATTGCTATCGATCCCCATCACTTTAAGGAACAATTATTTTTTGACCCATTTTCGCATTTTTTATAAGGGGGTACATCGGTTATTTTTGGGATTCAGATTTTGGTAAAAAATACCCATTTTTTAGTGGTTTTTCAGTCGTAGTCTAGCCAAATCAAGGCCTACAGCTAAACGACCGACTGTTTTGAGCAGCTTGCTTCAATTGCTATCGATCCCCATCACTTTAAGGAACAATTATTTTTTGACCCATTTTCGCATTTTTTATAAGGGGGTACATCGGTTATTTTTGGGATTCAGATTTTGGTAAAAAATACCCATTTTTTAGTGGTTTTTTAGTCGTAGTTTAGCCAAATCAAGGCTTACAGCTAAACGACCGACTGTTTTGAGCAGCATGCTTCATTTGTTATCGATCCCCATCACTTTAAGGAACAATTATTTTTTGACCCATTTTCGCATTTTTTATAAGGGGGTACATCGGTTATTTTTGGGATTCAGATTTTGGTAAAAAATACCCATTTTTTAGTGGTTTTTCAGTCGTAGCTTAGCCAATTCAAGGCCTACAGCTAAACGACCGACTGTTTTGAGCAGCTTGCTTCAATTGCTATCGATCCCCATCACTTTAAGGAACAATTATTTTTTGACCCATTTTCGCATTTTTTATAAGGGGGTACATCGGTTATTTTTGGGATTCAGATTTTGGTAAAAAATACCCATTTTTTAGTGGTTTTTCAGTCGTAGCTTAGCCAATTCAAGGCCTACAGCTAAACGACCGACTGTTTTGAGCAGCTGTCAACCTATGCTAACAATCCCCACCACTTTCCGGGAAATTTATTTTTTGACCAATTTTTTCATTTTTTGTAAGGGGTTACATCATCTATTTTAGCAAAAATTGGCAAAAATAAAGATTTTCCAGGTTTGAGTGCTAGTGGATTGGAATTTAAATTACGAGCTCAACGAGTTATGACATTCCTCGATCTGACATTTATTTTCTTTGTAGCAGCAAAAAACCTGCATTTTTAGGGCGAAAAAATTGGATTTTGAGTTTGTCAAAAATACGAGATTCAGATTTAAGTCAAAAATACGATTTTTCTTTCCAGTTTTTCAATCGTAGTTTGGTCAAATCAGGGCGTACAGCTAAAAGACCGACTGTTTTGAGCAGCTGACAACCTATGCTAACAATCTACGTCACTTTCCGGGAAATTAATTTTATGATCAGTTTTCGCATTTTTCATGTTATATTCTCGCCGAGTTAGTATACCCTTTCAATATACGAAAAACCAGTATAAAAAAAAACTCCTGAAGAGGAAGGTTGAGAAATTCAACTAACGATTGACACGTTTCGGTTTAAATTGAGCGAGTCGCAAAAGAATGGGAAATTGTTGGAAATCAGATAGGTCTGGGTTGGGAAAATTCAAACAAATTGCCTGGCATTTATTTAATGGTGCATGCGACATTGATGAGCTCCTCCGATGGACGGTTAATAAGAATTGCTTGCAGAAAGGACAATTTGTATGTCCTTAGCGTCTGTTTATTGCATAGTTTGTTTTGCCAAAGCTAAAGCCAAAGCCAAAGCTCTCTGTCATCATTTGCGTGAGTAATTGCATGATAAAGTGCTGGCAAAATGGCCCCAGTTGTGATTTGATGGGCATTGGCACTTGCAACATGTTGCAACTGGAGGCAGGGACCCGTGGATCCACGGCTGCAGCAAGCCCACTTTCTCAAGGGAGGGGGCTTTCCCATTGTTGCCTTATTGTTGCCATTTAAGCATCTCTTGAATGTTACGAGCGGAAATAAAAAAGAACGCCGCTGCACAAAATATGTCAAGCGTGTGCAGGGCGATAAACCAGAAACACCCGAGTATATGTGCACGGATACCCTGCTCACCCACACACGTGCGGCTGCGTTTCTGCATGTGTGTGAGTGTGTGTCTGTGTGGGCCATAACTTGAGGCGCCATTTAACTGCATTGCGTGTTGGCCTTTTTAATGGCCCGCCTTAAATGCATGGGGAAACGATTCAAGGAGGCTGACTGAAGAGTGCGAGTATCGCGAAACATTTCATGCCTTAGAAAAACAAGAAACCGAAAGATATTGCTAGCAAATCAATTTATTATTTATGCCAGATAAAGCTAACCAGGCTTTGAAAATGTGCTATTGTATTGCTTATGATATTATCAACTTTGTAGATTTTAAGCATCATTATATTAAATATCTTCTGTTATTAACTTAAGTTTTAACATTTGTAATGCATTCTTTGAGAACAAACACTTCTTTTGTCCTTGAATCAGTGGTTATCAAAATGAATTCAATGGGCTTGATAAGGCGAAACAACATCTGTTGTGGGGGGCCTTTCGGATCGGATGGTCTGTTCAAGGGAACGAAAGACACGTCAGGCACACAATCTTTACACACTCTTTGAAGTACACCCAAGGAAATTATTTCAGATTACTAAAAATAATAAATGCATTTCATGATTTAATAATTAACTATTAAATTAAATTATACAGTATAATCTATGAATAATATATATATAGCTTATATCGCAGTGAATATTAATATTTATATTACTATATTATTGATTTAATATTAATAGCAAAATATAAAGCTATATATTATTCATAGATTATAAGTAATATATTTCTAACCCTTATAAAAGATTTCATTTCAGATTTAGTTGTGAATTTCTCCGAGTGCCCCAAGAGAGAGCTACCAAAAGAGAACCGAGCTGCGATAAGCGTAAAACCCGATCATCGGTTGTATTCCGGAATCAGTTGATCGCCGGAATTCGAGAGCGATGGA